GCATATAAGGTCAACATGCCTTAGAACGAATTGTCCAAAATGTTAAATAAGAGAGGGTTATGGACAGCCTAAGAGATGGGAGATGGTTATGACCAACCAGAGAGAAGGGTGAGTGTTATGGTCAGCTTAAGAGAAGGGAGAGGTTATGGTTAGCTCAATAGAAGAAGGGAGAGAGTATTGGTTAGCTAAAGAGAAGTGAAAGAGTTATGGTTAGCTCAATAGAAGGGAGAGGTGCAATGGTTAGCTCAAGAAAAGGGAGAGGTGTTATGGTTAGCCCAAGAGAAGGAAGAGGGTTATGGTTAGCTCAAGAGAAGGGAGAGGGTTATGGTTAGCTCAAGAGAAGGGAGAGAGGCTATGGTTAGCTTAAGAGAAGGGAGAGGTTATGGTTAGCCCAAGAGAAGGGAGAGGGTTATGGTTCGCTCAAGAGAAGGGAGAGGGTTATGGTTAGCTCAAGAGAAGGGAGAGAGGATATGGTTAGCTAAAGAGAAGGGAGAGGTTATGGTTAGCTCAAGAGGAGGGGGAGGATTATGGTAAGCCCAAGAGAAGGAAGAGAGTTATGGTTAGCTCAAGAGAAGGGAGAGGGTTATGGTTAGCTCAATAGAAGGGAGAGGTGCTATGGTTAGCTCAAGAGAAGGGTGATAGGCTATGGTTAGCTAAAGAGGAGGGGGAGGATTATGGTTAGCCCAAGAGAAGGAAGAGGGTTATGGTTAGCTCAAGAGAAGGGAGAGGTTATGGTTAGCTCAAGAGAAGGGAGAGAGGCTATGGTTAGCTCAAGAGAATGGAGAGGTAATGGTTAGCTCAAGAGAAGGGAGAGGGTTATGGTTAGCTCAAGAGAAGGGAGAGAGGCTATGGTTAGCTTAAGAGAAGTGAAAGAGTTATGGTTAGCTCAATAGAAGGGAGAGGTGCAATGGTTAGCTCAAGTGAAGGAAGAAGTGTTATGGTAAGCCCAAGAGAAGGAAGAGGGTTAAGGTTAGCTCAAGAGAAGGAAGAGAGGCTATGGTTAGCTTAAGAAAAGGGAGAGGTTATGGTTAGCTCAAGAGAAGGGAGAGGTTATGGTTAGCTCAAGAGGAGGGGGAGGATTATGGTTAGCCCAAGAGAAGGGAGAGGGTTATGGTTCGCTCAAGAGAAGGGAGAGGGTTATGGTTAGCTCAAGAGAAGGGAGAGAGGATATGGTTAGCTTAAGAGAAGGGAGAGGTTATGGTTAGCTCAAGAGGAGGGGGAGGATTATGGTTAGCCCAAGAGAAGGAAGAGAGTTATGGTTAGCTCAAGAGAAGGGAGAGGGTTATGGTTAGCTCAATAGAAGGGAGAGGTGCTATGGTTAGCTCAAGAGAAGGGTGATAGGCTATGGTTAGCTTAAGAGAATGGAGAGGTTATGGTTAGCTCAAAAGAAGGGAGAGGTTATGGTTAGCTCAATAGAAGGGAGAGAGTTATGGTTAGCCCAAGAGGAGGGGGAGGATTATGGTTAGCCCAAGAGAAGGAAGAGGGATATGGTTAGCTCCAGAGAAGGGAGAGGTTATGGTTAGCTCAAGAGTAGGGAGAGGTTATGGTTAGCTCAAGAGTAGGGACAGGTTATGGTTTGCTTAAGAGAAGGGAGAGGTGTTATGGTTAGCCCAAGAGAAAAAAGAGGGTTATGGTTAGCCCAAGGGAAGGAAGAGGGTTATGGTTAGCTCAAGAGAAGGGAGAGGTTATGGTTAGCTCAAGAAAAGAGAGAGAGTATTGGTTAGCTAAAGAGAAGTGAAAGAGTTATGGTTAGCTCAAGAGAAGAGAGAGTGTTATGGTTAGCTCAAGAGAAGGGAGAGTGTTATAATCAGTCCAGGAGAGGGGAGAGGGTTGTTATACATTACGTCAATAGACAGAATTGTATTGAATGTTCCCATTGTAGTAAATATAGGTTCAAATAAAGATATAATGTAAAATTCAAGAATCCAACACAAACCTTTAACATTATAGATGTTTTTATCCTGGTCCTCTGTTCTGTTCATTTCTCCTTGCCCTATAGGTACAGTCTCTCCCAGTCTGTTTGGTGCTGCCTGTCCTATAGGTAAAGACGGCTGAAGTCTGGTCATGACACCATTTATCATTGAAGCCTGGGTCTTTGTATACTCCCCATTCTTTTCCCCAAGATCTAATAACCTAGACAGTATAAAAAAACAAGAGGCCCATGGGCCTTATCGGTCACCTGATATATTTATAGAGAGTTGACTTTTGTTTTTAACATGAACAGAAATATTATTCAAAGTGACAAAAAACAATAAAACCACCTTATTCAATATCTAGCATGCAGATTTAAGACTGAAAAGTATTTAAAACTAGCACCTCTGATTCTAAACAAGGAAAATGAAGAAATTTTATTTTAGCACACAGACTCCATTGGGCCCCACCCTACAGCCCTTGGGGGTAGGGATGGCTCAAAATTTACAAAGTATCAAACTGTCAACTTAGGGTTAT